AAGTCAATACAATGTCCTCAGTTTGGTGCAAATACAAGGATGTGTGTGTGTGTGTGTGTGAACTTGTGTGTGTGTGTGTGTGTGAACCTGTGGACTGGTATTCCCTACATTGTGGGGCAGTTTTTTTTTGGCATACACACCTACTTGTGGGAACCTGACTGGTACTTATGGGGACCTGAGTCTAGTCCCCATAAGGGGAAACACTGTTGGTGGGTCAGGGGGTAAGTTTAGGACCAAGGTTTGAATTGAGTTTAGGTTAGTTTTAGGGTTGGTGGTCAGGGTTAGGCTGTAGAAATTAATAGAAGTCAATGCCAGGTCCCCATAAAGATAGCTGTACCAGATTGTGTGTGTGAAACGTGTGTACCTGCATGTAGAGGTCCGGGTTGATGTCTTGTTGCTTCATGAGCTGTTTAACATGTTTACGTCGCTCCACCAGCTTCCTGATCTCTTTGGGCAGGATTCCCATTTCTAGGTTGGGATCCGGAATCTCCGGGATCTCCTCTGACTCCTCATCCTGTTACCGTGGAAAGGGCGGCGGCTTTTATTTTCTGTTGACCTGCGCATCGGGAAGCGCTTGTGTGTCAAGGTGTGCGTCACCAGAGAACGGGCGTGTTTTACCTCATTCCTCCTCTGCGAGTTGTGAGCCTCCCTCTGAACAGTGGTGAAACAGATGTTGAACTCCTGGATGATGGAGGGATACAAGCTGTTGAAGTCCAGCAGCAGCACAAACTTATCATAGAAACCTGATGAAAGAGAAGAGCCGGGGGGGTTAGAAAATAACGAGCGCCGCACGGGAAAACGAACTCTTCAAATTCGAGCTCGTACTCACCGACTTTAGGATCCAGGACCAGACCCCCGGCGTACGCCGCCTTCTTCTTCCTCTTTCCTTTTCCTGCATCTGCGTCATCTTCTCCCTCAGCCTGGAACAAAGGAAACGCCTTTATCAGTAATGAAATAAAATAAAAAAAGAAGTACGATCAGCCGCCATGCAGATCCTTACTGTCTCCAGATGGATCTTTTTGAAGGACGGCTTGTCGGGGACGATGTAGTTTTTGTCGTGGAAGGCGTGAAGCAAGAGGAACTCGTTCCTCTCTGAGCGGCCGCCCATCAGAGTACGAGACTGCAGAACGAGAAAAAATAACATTTTAGATAAACTGTCTTTTCTGACAGCAGACAAGAMACCCAAACAGGATTCCAGCCAACAACCAGCTGAAACTGAAGACCCTAAACCCAGACCCAAACCTGTCGTCATTCCAWATGTGGTGGGAGTTTCAGAGAAACTGAGMCGKTTATTCTCCAAACATGACRTCCCAGTGGCTTTCAAACCCCAAAACACGTTACGACAAAGATTAGTTCACCCCAAAGATCTAATTCCCCAGCAAAAACAGAGTAATATAGTGTATGCTGTTAGGTGTCAGGAGGACTGTGATCAGTCATACACTGGGGAAACAAAACAACCACTGTTCAAAAGAATGAGCCAGCACAGACGAGCTACATCATCAGGCCAGGACTCTGCAGTTTACACTCATCTTCAGGCCAGGACTCTGCAGTTTACACTCATC